AAAAGCCGAACCGACACATACAACTGCCATTACTGTCCGCGAGGCTTCTCCAGGCTCCGTTCTGGCATTGCATTGATTGCGCAGGTAAGACTGTTGAATACATCCGTAGCAGCTTGCGCTAATTCTCGCAGGAAACGCCTACATATGCATGAAATGTAAGGTGGAAAAGGAGGACGCACTGGCCCAAGAGGACGAGCTCTCGTTCGCGGCATACGCTTTCGCCATGGCCGCCAGCCGCTCTAACGCTGCAAATAGCGGCGACGCTCAGAGCTCTGCCGCGAACAATACCGGAGAAGACAGGGAAGATGATCCCGCTCAGCCTCCTTTGAACGACGCTGAGGGCGCCGGTTCTTCCAATTTGGCGGCTGCAAATGGCGAGGCTGCGGAAGAGTCGGAAGCCACTCCGGCGGAGTACACCTCTGCTAGCAAGGAAGAGGGCGCTGCAAGCGATATCGAGGCAGGCGGCGGAGACGCTGCAGACAGGCCCAAGAGAGGAAGCGGAGATGAAAGCGGGTCTGCAGGACTCGCAGTCCATTCTTTCAAGCACAACCTTCTGCTCTATCAACGAGCATCAAAGGAGCTCGCAGAAACGACCTCCAACGGTTCCGTCAAAGAGACGCTTCTCAAGTTACAAGAGCGCTTCTCGTCCTTCGACAATCGGCTGGAACGTTTGGAGGCGCTGCTTGATAATCTCGTGAGTGTCTTAGGGGCAGTACCGAAGGCAGCGAATAGTGACGCCACACATGTATGACATCGCACACTAGATGTGTTCGATTAAATTCTTGCGTATAATGGGTAGAAACCTACTCCACGTCATTCCAAGTGAATAGCATCAACGGAATTACAGGCCTATCACGCCTACACATGTGCAATGCACGGATTAGTCACTCGAGCTGCCATCGCCATCTTCGCTATCATACCATTCCAAACTATCTTCTTCGTCGTCGTCCATGAGATTTTCGTAGTCTTCCTCACATCCATGCTCCATGTCGTAAAAGATTCCATCGAGTTCCGTGAGATACTGGACCTCGAGGTTACTGATGGAGTAATTGACTTGCATGGCCAGTTCAAAATCGACCAGCCTCCACTTGTGAACTCGCTTAGTAAACGGAGAAGGGAGAGAAGGGAGACCAGGCGGCGGTGCAGGAGCCTGCAGGATGTTCTTGTATCGAATATCTTCGACATCTACGGGTGCAGGTGAGCAAAGTTGATCGAAGTTGTATTAGTGGATTAGTGAACTCCTACTATCAATGCATAGGTGGCCAATCTCTTCATAGAGACCCCTTATATCTTCACTATGAAGCAGCGTACTGTGGTAAGCAAGCAGAACATGTTTCGACACAAGCCATACATACCGAGTCTCCTCCGACACGGCAACACCTACTGGAAGCCGGGGTCCAAGCTTCTCCAAAATGAGCACGGCAACAACTCTGCTGTGGGAGTCTCGTTCTTCAAGAAGAGGATGCAGCGGTCCTCGGCATCTGTCTCTCTCGACGGTGGGATTCCCCTCACTCTCGTCGGCACCGGGAAATTTCTTGAATAGCGTCTGCAGCAATGCCTTCTCGCTGCCATTCTCAGAAAACTCGGCCTCAAAGTAGCCATAGCACCTTGGGATTGCCACGCCCTGCAGGCACTCCATCTCGTCGTAAAACCACGTCTCACGGAGAAGCGACGCGACACGGTTGAGACGCGCGATCTTTACGACCAGTGGGGGAAACGCAACCCCATCAGGGGCTCCAGTAACGTGCATGTCTTCGAGGGCATAGACTAAACCGCAGTGACCGTGACCCAGATAGTCCCCCAATGAAGCCGTGAGATGCGCATTCCCTAAGTCATTTAGAGACGAGCGGCGTGGTGGCAGATCCGCAAACATGTCAGGCTGAGCGCCCGTGGGATCGTCGAAAACTGGCTTGACTAGATCAACAGGGACTTGCTGACGGGCGAACTGGATAGTAACATGGTTTGAGCTGCTGGCCTCCACCGGCTTGAACGCGTCATTCAGCGTAAAAGTGGTGACCACATTGGAAGCCTGAGCGGGACAGCAATGCTCAGCCAGCAACGATACAGAATATTGACAAAAATGGCGCACCAGTTTATCCATGGCGTGGTTCTTCTAGGTAGGGACTCTAGGGAGGCTGGGAAGGGAGCGAACTAGAAACGAACGCTGGTAACGCGGGATCCGGACCAAATTCGGGCCAAATTCGGACTGGAACTGCCTATTTAGATCGTGTTCTCCAACCACTCCGAATGGTCATCGACTGCAACGTCTCTACTTGTGAACAGTAGGTGCATTTTATACTGTCACTGCCCAGCTCATTCTGCTTAGCACATGCTAGGAGCTGGAGCTATGTCGTCGCCCTTCGTCGAACTTGCAGTAATACCCATTAATGATGACGGCAGCCCTAGCATTGCAGCGGCGGTAATAGTCATTCCATGATGCTCTGCATTTTATAAAAATGTTTGCTATACATGTTCCTTATCAAGAGCTAAACGATGGCCTTCTTGCACGCCTATTCTCATCTGACTCACCAGCGGCTGGTACTGATGTCGATGAGGCCTTTAGGCCTTACTATTAGGGCTCACTCCTTCTCCGCGGGAGGAAAATGGATTTATGATTATCCTATCTGATTGCGCGGGACCCTGTTGAGGCTTGGGTTTCTCCGCACAGACTGAAGGCATAAAGCTTTGTCGCGAATGGTTATGACTGACTTTGGACTTGACCCTCATTCAACATCCAGTACTACATCAAGTGCGTATAGTGCTTGTCCGGATGCTAAAAGCTTAAGTTCGGGCCTAGGTTCTTGGAGCACGATGGCCGCTAAAGCTCCCCTCTACGTGCCCGACAAGATCTTCAACTGGTCGGAACCTGAGGTTAGGAAGCATGCGACGGGGGACTATCCTATCCAACTTCGCCCTGCTATATTCCCGTTCGCGCTGCCTACCGTATTCGATGCGCAAGCGCAGCAAGGTCGAATGTTGCCGCATACCCTCCTGCGCGCGAAGCCTCTCGTACCGAGCCCTCTCCGAAGTGATCCGTCTATAACGAAGCCTGCGCCTGCTGTAGAAGCACTTGGCGATGTCGAACTGATGCCTGAGCGGGCTCTGGATATCAGGCACTCAAACACCTTCATTGATCATCTGATACGATATGCATATGCAGAGCAACAGCACACCGTGGAGCTTGGCTCCGTAACCTATCCGACGCAGACAATGCGTTCCTCCTGGTCCGCGGATCGCACTGTCCACTTTGCCACTCTTCCCTCTGCAAATGCACAGGCCGCTGCGCTCGACGAATTAGCGGCTGAGTATATCACCCAGGTACATCGTAGTCCTGCTGTGGTGAACTGTGAGGCAGCAGTTCAACGGGAGGTCCACCGTCAACTTCTATCTGTGACCAACGCCCGCATGAAGGTGCGCAGCATCAATCCGGGATAGATCTTCTGAATTAAACTATTGTATTACGTAGACTAGATACGGAAGGACTGCTGCAGACCCGGTGCCCTATCTACGACACCAGTGGGCGACTCCGCCAGCTCATGAAAATCAGCCTCAACAAGTGCTTCGTCGTACTACATATCCCCACTGGGGCACACCGTTATCGGCGGACGCAAAAAGAGGTTTGATGTCAGGTGGCTGGACCTCTAACGCAGGCGTAGGAGACATAGCGCTCTATGCTATGCCTAACGTGGTCGCGGCAGTAGGGGAGGTGAAGCCACCGTGGGTGAACTCGTTGAGCCAGGCCCGTTTCGAGTCGCTGTTCGAGAAGACCGCCCAGAAAGCTGGGAAGTTCTATTGGAGGATGAGTGGGCTCAGGCTAGGCAATATCGGTGCGGCTCAAGCAGTACGCCAGGTATTTGTCAGTCCTTGAGACGTCTTCTTTTCTGCTGAGACACTATCACAATACTGGCAGATATGGGGAGAGTTGCATGCAACTCAAGTTCGGCTGGGTACTATCACCAATGGCCAATTCGTGATGTTCTACGCGCGTACCGGCGATTCAGAACTTACGTTCTCGAAAATGCTTGACTGGGAAGATCCGCTTGTTTACGGCGCACTCATCGGCTTCAGTCTTGCAGCGTCCGACGCAGTGCTGTGTGTGAAGCGCACACGGTCGCATAATCGAGAACGGTATCGTGACGCAGTTCGGACAAGCATGCACGACATCCTCAGTTCTATTTGCCCTCCTGCAGATCGTAAAATCGAATTCGGCGAGCAGCAGGGTCAGGCGAACGAGTGATTCCAGCGGTAAAATAGTGCAATAGCAGATATTGTTAGCCCCCATGTCCGTATCCATATTCATCGGCAAAATGGGCGTTTAATCAATTAGCATTATCACGCGTGGAGAGTATTATAAGCACTGCGGATGCGTAGCATACAAATACTTGACAAAATAATGCAATGAAATGGGCTGTATGCACAGGTGTAAATTTGAAACGGGGCTCGTTGCAATGGGCAAATAATATTGTGTTGAAATGCATGATAATGCATAATAATGCGACCCAGCTCGATTGTATGCTGAGGTAATTTAAGCCCAATGGGCCAGCCCAGCGAACAAGCAAGCCCAGGTGCAACGCTTGCACAATAAACCCATTTTCCGCGCATATGGTGCGACATGAAGCATTGCGAGTCGGACAAAACTATACCTCGCAGACAGAAGGCAAAGTATTGCACGAGCAGGGCATAACACAACACTGCGCCACAGGCGCGTGACGTGTAACGCGCCGCACGCGTATTAAAGGTGACTTCATTTGTTTTTGTTTCTCTTTCTCGAACCACCATCTTCTTCTCAAAGCACCACACTCAAGTTTTGCTGTCTCATACCCCAGCCATTCGTGCCGTTGCACTTCCCGACATGAGAGCCCCAGTCGCGAGCGTCGACTTTATCCTCGTTGTTCTAGCGCTCCATCGCGCACGGCATGCACTCAGTCCCCCATTGAAGATGACGAGAGACTCCAGAAAAGTGCGTTCTTCTGCCCCTCCCCTCCTTTTAGCGCATATATGCGCTTCTTATGTATACTTGATTCGTCGCCTTCCACCTGGATCACGAGTGTATGCGCCGTTGTGCCCTGCATGCGACGCATACATCCAGGTCTTATAAGAGCTAGAACTTGTCAAACACAGCCCGACACTGTTCTCAATGTCATCCGAGTGGTACGCACAACCTGATCACTTCATACTATGCTACTGATGCGTCATGTTTGGCCGCCCGCCGTGCATGAACTTGTCCTGGGTCAACTACGAGTTCCCGCAGGAACCCGAGGAGCGGGTCGACACTGACGGACATCGCGAGTGGAGTTGTACGTCCCTTCCCTTCCCCCCTTCCCCTCTGTCCGTAGCCCGCCACTGACGCCCGTCTCCTTCCCTTCCCCTCTCCCCCTGGCCCCCAACAGCCCACCCATGGTGCTGGCAGTACTCGAAGCTCCTGCACACCGTGCGCGCGACGGCTTTCGCGGCCGCCGTGCCGCAGTACGCCAAGATCCTTGAGCTCGACCGCGCGGTGCGCGACTTCCCGGTGCTGCACAGCCTGCGCAGCAAGTGTGGCCTCCCTGAGGCGGCCGAGGCGGGCAAGGCAACGCACGTGCGGCGCTACAGCTGTATGGCTGCGAAGGAGATCAGTGCGTGTCCCTCTTTCTCTTCCTCCTCCTTTGTTGCCGCTGCTACGTCCGGGCTGCTGATTTCTTTCTTTCTTTTCTTGGATTCTATTGTCTGCACGACGCAGCACTACTGAACCTGCACCGCCCGTACTTTGCGCAGGCGCTCCACGACGACGGCGCGCAGGACGTCCTGCGCCACCGCTACGCGCCGTCCGTGCTCGCTATCTACCGCTCGGCGTGGCGCATCGTCGAGGCGCTGCGCGTCACGCAGGAGCGCGTCCCGTTCGTCACCGAGCGCTGGGGCATGCCGTGGTCGCTGTCGATGTCTGCCGCGATGCGTGTTTTCCTTCTTGGAGAGACACATACATAGGGGTTTGCTGACTTTTATTTTTGTTTATTTTCTTTGATTTGTTCTTCTCTCGGCCACGGACAGATCATGATGTGCCTGATGGTCACGCGCGCCCCGACTTCGTCCCTCGCCCTCGCGTCGCTGCACGAGCTCGACAGGCTCTGCGAGATCTTCCAGCGCTGCTCGGACCGCGCGCCGACGGCCGCGAACCACGTCGTGCGTTCCTCTCTCCCTCTCCTTTCCCTCCTCCTTCCCTCCCTTCCCCACTAACTGTACCTGGCCCCTTGGCGCAGGACATTGTGCGCAAGCTCCACCGCCAGGCGCACGACGCATTCGCAGCGCGCGCCGCCGGCCAACAACAGCAACAACAGCCGCAGCCGCAGCAGCAGCCGGCGCGCACGAG